AAATCTTGTTGTCACTAGAAGCCAAAAAATGATGCATACCAAATTTGAAGCTATAATTTTGAATATATTTTCCATCCACCATAGGTTCTATAATGGCTAAGAACCAACATTTATATAATTTTTTCAGGCTTTTGATCCTTTTGAGAGAGGATCTAACTCCCCGGACATTCCAAAAAATGGCAATCATGGAAGACTGTAGAAAATATTATCTTTATGCCCCTTGTGGCTTCTTCTAATCATGCTAGATGTAGGTATGGATGAATATTTGATGTGCTTTTTTGGAACTGAAATCGTCACTTTATTTGCTTCAGGTATGAGAAATTTCTTGGGTTCAAGCTCACTAGTGTCCTGGACTCCATTGGATGTTTCTCCTTCAGAGTGATAACCAATACTTCTGTGGCTTGGGGATTCCACAAGTGGGGAGTGATGAATATCTTCCAACAGCATTGCCAGGCCTCTTTCAGGTGAGTGGTGATGTAGGCAGTCACAACAGATCCTTTGAAAGGTTCAGAGGTTGGAGTGATGTTAAGAGGTTCCTGGGTGTGGGGTTGAATGGGCTTAATGGGCTTGGTTTTATGGGCATAAGCTTTAGCTTCTGACAGGGTAGGGAATATAGGATCAAAGGAGATAGAGCCCTTAGGGGAATTAGGATTTGAAGAGGGAATTTGTGCTGGGCTAGAAGAATTTGAAAAGGTATTTTGGGCTGGCTTAAGTTGGTGTCGAGATTAGAACTAAGATCAAGCATATCTAAGAGAGAAAAAGAATTGAGCTGAGCTGTACCTTTCTTTTTCCATTCATAGATAGTGGGCCCTGATTTTGTGACATTATGAGCTGATTTAGCTGCAACATGACTTGTACCTTTTGGCTTCTTGCTTGTGACTTTTATCCATTTGTTGACATTTGAATCAGGGATGCCCTCCTTACCCTTGCCGGAGGGAACTTTTCCGGTGGGCTGAGTAGTGGTGTGCCTTGTTGAAGAGTGTCCAATCTTTTTACAGGTGGTGCAGTAGCATGGCCTGTTCTCATAAGTGCAATCCACAAAGATATCCTTACCTCCCATACGTATGTGTATTATAGGTGGAGGTGGCTGGGAAAGGTCCAACTCCAAGCACACACGAGCACTATCCCTTCGATCTCTGTTAGCAGTGTATTCATCCATCATCAAAGGTTTACCAAGACGGCTAGCTAAGGTGTATAAAGCTTGATACTGAATAAGGTGCAAAGGGAGATGCTCAAAGGTGACCCAGACTGGAAAAACAGCAGATTCTTCATTTGGTTTGTAATCACTCATCCATTTGAAGACATGGAAAGACGAGTTCTGAATGTTCCAAATGCGCTTCAGGATGAATCGAATGTAGTCTTTTTCTTCTTTGAATGTAAACAGAACATCAAAAGTATTGATTCTTCTGATTTTGAATGCCCCAAAATTGAGTTTGATAAGCATGTTTTTAACCAAAGATAGGTGGACCTCCTTCTGGAATCTACCAACTNATATTTGATGGCTTCCTCCTTGATCTCCTCTCTGTTGTGAAGGCCTACCCCCTCTTGGGAAATAATGTGGTTGATGCAAAGTTTCTTTTGTTTCCCTCTGACATAAGCCTGGAAAACTTTGGAGTTTGCATCTCCCTTCTCTAACCATTTAATGTTAGCCTTTTGTTTCCAAAATTCCACCTCCTTCTTGACTGCAAGAATCATTTTTGCATTCGCCAATTGAGCAATCTCTCTGTTCCCATCCGTTGGATCAGTATCATAGGCCTCCTGAGTTAGAGAGGCACATTCTTCAGCCTTCTTAGCCTGGTCAAAAATATTGCCAAACTCTCTGTGGTTCCAGGTCTTAAGGTCCACTTTGAGGGCTTTAAGTTTGGAGAGGAGGCCTCTCATGCCCCCAAATGTAGGGCTGTTATCCCAGGATTTTTTGCCCACCTCAAGGAATTTGTCATGATGAGTCCAAGAATTGATGAACCTGAAAGGCCTTGCACCAAGTTGTTGGTCATCATGGCAGTGGAGTAATAGGGCCTTATGGTCTGAGTTTGCTTTAGGAAGGTGATGAAGCTCAACCTCTTTGAAAAAAGCCAGGACATCCAGATTCACCAACACCCTATCAGCCTTCGCCAAGTTCTACCTCTACTCCTTACTCCTTACCAAGTGAAAACACCCCCAATGGATCAGGACAGTGTAATTTGCAATTTGAAATGCAGCATTGAAACTCTTCCATGCTTTGAAAGTTAGGGGTGCATTGTCCCTTTACCTCCTGAGGGGAGAGGATAGTATTGAAGTCTCCTCCCAAAATCCATCTTTTATTCAAAGGGCAAAAAGATTGCAGCTGGTTCCAAAGCAGTCTTCTCTCGACCAGAGAGTGAGAACCATAAACACAGGAAATGATTAAAGGACTGCTGTCATGGGCCAGAGTGAATTCACAATGAGTTACTTGACCTTCATCATAGGAGTTAGACAAAATGAGGGAATCCTAGTTCCAAAGAATCCATCTCTTATTATTGTTGGAGGAAAAACCATGAGAAAAACCCAATTTAATACGATAGGTGTCAAGCTTCTGCATATTAACGATAGGTTCAATAATACAAAGGAAATCAAGAGAGTGAGTTCTCTTCAAGTAGATCAGCCTGTCGAGTGAAGAGACAACTGCACAGACGTTCCAAAATAGTATCTTCATAAAAAGGGGTTGAGAGATACTCCTTTATTCTTCATACCTCTAGTGGTCACCCCGGGAGGAGGACAACGGGCTTTTTCACCTTATCAGAATATAAGTTTATTACCTCATCAACATTGTTTTCAGTTGATTTGCAGAATTCAACAACATCATGGACAATTTTATCACTCATTGCCATCTCATCTTCATTCGCCTCTCCCTCAACTGCAAACTTTTCCTCTTCTTCTTCCTGACAATTGGAAACATAATGCTTTACTAAAGGTTCAAAACATAAGAACATACTTTGGCGACCATAAAAATCAACGAAACAAAAAAGATCGACGAATGGGGTCGACCAAGTTACCTGGATTGGTGGACACCTATTCTTTACTTTAAATTGGTCAACCTCTTCTTCATCTTTCTCTTCAGGAATTCCTTCAAAACTGGAGAGCTTGACCATATTGTCTGCAATGGGCTCATCTTCTTCCTTCCCATCTCCTTCCTTCCCAACTTCTTCCCTCCCATCTTCTTCTTTCCCATCTTTTTTTTCCTCTTCATTATGGTCAACCCCGTAAAAACTATAGGGGTCGACCTTATTCACTCCCACC